CGGGCGGGCGCCCCGTGGACACCCGTACAGTCCCGGCAGCAACCGCTGGCCCGCGCGGGGCGCCGGCTACATGATCCCTGTTTCACGGCTTTTGATTAAAATCCCAGCCATGGCCCACCCCACGCGGGTAGGTTTGGGCTCCCCCCGCCTCCAGCTCACGACGCCCACCTGTGCAGTTCCAGGGCCGCACCTCACAATCGCGAGGCTTCCGAAGGCAAGCCGGGTCTGGAAAGAGAGAAAAGGGCGACCCCTTCTCCCCGAAGCTACGGAAGGGGAGACCCTTTCTCGCCCTAAGACTTGTCCAGAGGATGTTTTGATGATACCCAGCTGAGAGCGTTCACAAGCATGTCTCCTTTGTCGCGGGGCTGGTGTGAGCGTTTGTAACTGTTCCCAACGTATTCTGTGCTGTCAAGGAAATCTGTCCGTGGGGATATCATCTGAACAAACAGCTTTAGTGAAACTGAGCAGTTTACAAATTGTCGCCGTGGCTGTGAAAGTATCTTCCCAACTGAAACCTGTAATTATGCTGGGCTGTCTTGCTTGGCGTTTGTTGTCAGGGCGCGATGCTGAAATCGCCAGCCGGGCATTTCCAGCCCGGGCAGCGTCGGAAGGGCTCCTCGCTCACGCTCGGGCTCTGGCTCCTGGCTACTCACGCGCTTGGGGGCAGCGTGGCTCTGCTAGGTTTCTTGCATTTGGAAGTCAACGAACTCAACACACAGTTCGACTCAAACGCCATGAAGTAAGTACCTGTTCCTTTAATATTGTAAGATGAGCCGTCATCTCTATTAGCCTGCTCGGAGCCAAGAGAGTTATAAACAAAAGTCACACCTGATACGTCCTTGACCGGACTGCGGCAGACTTTCAGGACAGCAGAGCCCACCGTATCTGGTTTGGTTTTTCCCTTTGGCATCAGTCAAAATTTGTACAGAAATTCTAGGAAGTCAAAGGAGTTAACATGCCAGAGGCCAGTCTCGGGAGAAAGTTGAGACAGAGCAATCACTTCCGAAAATCAGGGTGTGAACTCTTATTTTCCCAGTTCCCAGTGTGGCCGTGAAGGCCCCCCACCTTGGCTTTGTTCCACGCACGGGAAATGGGAGCAGGGGCAGATTGCTGTGTCGCAGACACGACAATAATGTGAAGAAGCGTGGGAGTGGCCCGCGGTGCCCTTTTCCAAACGCTTGGCAGAGAAACTGGAAAAGGGGTAGTCTGTGAACTTCGAATTTTAATATTATATTCTGTCAAGTAATAACTGACATTTTGTGTTTTCTTCCATTATGACTATAGGCAACACGTCACAGTTGTATTTCAGCAGTTTTGACGTTGTCACTATTGGAAATTACAAATATTTTCTTACAAATTTGATTTGTTCCAAATTTCTTAAAATATCATTTGTTAAAATAATTATGCTCAGTACTGCTTTGAAATTTCAGTATTGATTAGACCTCCTGCTGTTATTGTGCATTAATAAAGGAGAACAAATATATCATACCATGCATTTTTAATATTTTAAGAATATATTTAAATATAATTGGTTTCCCTTTGAAATCTTATGGATTTATCTTTTTATATATTAAAGAGACATTACAGGGGAGCAAGATCTCAAACGCTCTGGGGAATGACAATTTTGTAGCTTCTTTTGTGCATTCGGAATAAGGGAGGGAAAATGGGAGAAAACTAGGTGCAGGACAGGTAACAGGCCAGGTGCTCCCCGGAGGGTGGTCACTCCTCGGGCGCGCGAGGGATTACTTCCCGCGTTCCAAAGGTGTGCGGACCTAGACGAGCAAGGACAGCGGGCAGGGTCTGCTTAGGCGACAGGACGTTTTACTAAAGAATTAGAGACGTGGAGCGCGATTCCCCGCCGCGACCGGCCCGACCGGGCTTTGGGCTCAGGTCGCCTCCTGAGGTTACTGCCGCTCGCTGCTTTCGGCAGAGCCCGTTTGCTCACGGGGCCCGGGGCCGGTGTGCGCGGAAGGAGGGACGCGGGTCTCCAGGGCCGCCCACCGGGCGTGCGGAGACTAGGCCGTCAGCCGGGCGCGCCCCCGGCTCCCCAGGGACAGCCGCGCCGTCGGGGTTTTGATGAAGACGGGCCGCCGCCTCCGTCCCCGCGCGGGCCAGTGGCGCAATGGATAACGCGTCTGACTACGGATCAGAAGATTCCAGGTTCGACTCCTGGCTGGCTCGGTGGGCGCGACGCAATTTTATTTCTTCCTCCGGCGCCCGCGGAGGAGTTTTCCCGCGGAGCAGGCGGCGGCGCCCCC